ACGACCCGAATAGAAGCGCGGGTACTGAAAATAGGTAAATTGGTTCGTGATTTTTTAAATGTTCTGTTGATTAAAAATATTCTATTGATTATTAATTCATATGCTGTGCAAGTCTCACTGCAACAGCAACGTTTATAGGAATTCCGGGAACCGTGCAAATTAAAACAGCAAACTGGTCACAACAATCCTGCTGAAGAATTGGTAGAGTGGCATCTGGCAACGGACCCAGAGACTTGCAATCCGTTTGAAGTGACCAATCTTCGGGACGTCCAAGACAGCGTATGACTTATAGTAGTTTTCTTCGTTTCTGAGATTACTTTGTTTATTTAATTATTTTCTGATTAGGACTCGATTAGTGAATCAAGTGGCAGCGATGATTCCGACATTTTCGATGAGGCCCAACCTGCACTTAACGAAGAGGATGACCTGATGGATGAGCAACAGTGAGAAGCGCTCTTCAGTGCTTAAAGCATGTTCAGCTGATTTTAATGCTATAGACTTCCCGCGTTCCATACGCCTGCTAGAAGACTGCCGATCGATCAGCTTGGTCCGCTGTTGTCGAACAGTGCCCTAATATTGTTGCGCTTTTTCGGTACATATTTTTTTTATCATCTGCGGTAAATTCAGGACTTGAACTTATGAACTGTTTGACAATAAGCTGAGATTTATGCGGAATTCTGTTCCTTGTTCTACCACAGTATTATATTAAAATATCTATAATAGTAAATGTAACTTTTATTTTTAGTTGTATTTTTAAAGAGCTGTAGTTTTCGATATCAGTTATATCTGTATCTGATAAGCATAATTCTATCCACATGCGGTTTTCGATACGTTCAAATAGTTTTTGATTCTGGCCCGTTGTTCGAACCGCAGTTGTATTGTCGATTCCTGGTTTTGAGGGCAATGAACAATACCTATGGTAAAAAGTTTATTCCAAACAATTGGACTACGACACTGGTGGCACAATCAGAAGATTACTCATATCGCCGCCAACCAGCGACGTAAACGAATTTTGCAAAATGAAACGTAACAATATATCTGAATCACTTATGACGACTGGTCAGAAGTCTGTACTAGGTTTGGGTTAGAATTTCAAATGTCGTTTATCAGAATGTAAGGCATATGCGTGCCATATGCGATGTTTCTGTGACAGCATTTGAAGGGTTCGTTTATCAGAATTAATTCTCTGGCATTTCACAGCAATCCATTTCTGAGGAACACTACTTCAGTCAGAAGACAGATCAGTCAAGATTGGGTTATCTCTTCTCCATTCATCCTACATAAACATCTTCGGTTTGTTTGTTTTCCATGTAATAATTTATTACATTTTTTAGGTAGGTACCTTCAGTTTGCCTGTCTTCTGGAATCAGTGGCCGCCGACGTAATCGTGCCACTTGCAGAGCTTTATGAATACTACTTTGTTTCCGTATGTATAATTCAGTGTTGTTTGAACGTTCCACAATTTGCTAATTTTGAAAAGACCGTCTACTTGTCACTTTTTCTGATTCGTATGGCATAGTCGCACCGTTTCTCAACCACGAGACAGTTTAAACAGGCCACAGCTCCATATTGTTTCAGCACTTTTATTACATGGTCGACAAATGTTCGAAAACCAATCAATATACCTCAGTATGTAGAGATATATACCAAAAAAATAAACCACGATATTATTGATTTGTTGACAAATTACTAGTTTTCAAAGCCATTACCAAGAGTAACATTCTTTTTTTACTTCATCAGATTTACATGGTGTAGCGCATTAGCAGTTTGCTAGCCGTCCCATGGCATCAGGGTATTTTTGTTATTTATGTCTATGATGAGAATTCTAAAGGTTGGTGTTCAAACATGTGTTCCTTGGACCCATTACAAGTGCCTATGCATCATCGATTCGTGGCTTGTATAAGCGGTTTCCTAGGCCACTAGATGCGCTGCGCTGTGTAAATTCAGAGAAGTGATAGAAGAGTGTTATTTTTACCGGCAAGAGTGAAAACTACAAGTTTGCTAGTAAACCCGTAACACTGAAAATTATTTTTGTTTCTATATACCAATTATAACGATTTCTGTACCGTTCAGCTCCATAAATAAATGTTTTCTGCCTTGAGTTATATATATGATAACGCCAGCGGAAACCCAGCGCATAAAGTTAGTGCTATTCCCGTTTTCATGACATTATTTATATGCTTTTTAGATACTGTGTCAATCTTCTATAACACTGGTAACAGAACATTGATAGCGATACTTGTTTGTTTGTGATTAACCATTGGTAAATTTACTGCTCATGAAACACCTCGGATTGTCGTCATCTTCACCTTGCCTGATTCCTTCTCTTTTCAGGTCGCGGAAGCAGACGCGTCACGTAGCATTTCCCACGTTCCCTGTCTTACGCCAGAGCCTGAGCTTCGGTAGAGGTTAGCTGGAGTCGCGAACAAACACCTTCCATATATTTTCACCGGGTTAATCTTGACCATCCCCTGGGACTTCTGCCGGTCGGTTTGGCAAGAAACAGTTGCTTCGCCTTCCTTTCTGCAGGCATTCACAAAAATGCCCAAACGATCGCAGCTGTGACTTCTCAATCTGGAGAAGCAAAAGTTGTACACGAAGGCTCTTCTGGATGTCACTACTCCGGACCATGTCGAGAGGCGTAAGGCCAGCGACTCGTCTAAGAAAGCCCATTTCAGCAGCTCGTACCCGGGTTCGAAGTTTTTCAGTGATGGTCCACGATTCATTACCGTATTTAAGTATGGGGATAAAGATCGACTTGAATATTGAGAACGTAGTTTTCAGACTGAGCTCTGCTTTCGCCACAACGGGTCGGGCTAGTTCACGCAGAACGCCACTGGCTACACCAATTGGCCAGTCGATCTCTTCCTCCAACTTTTCATCACTAGTAAATATAGTTCCGAGGTACTTGAATGTCTCCACCTGCTCCACTGTCTCTCCGTTAATCTGAAGAGAGCAACTTGCAGGAGAACGATAAAACACTAGGCTTTTCGTTTTAGATGCGTTCAAATGCAGGCCGGTCACGTCGCACTCGGCTGTGAACCTTTCCAGGGCACACTGTAGATCAGTTTCAGACGGTGCCAATAAAACAAGATCGTCTGCAAACAGCAACCTTCTCGTTTCCACGTCTCCTATACCTATAGACTCATTGCCTTTGCTGCTCCTGGGTCTTCTATCGCTGTACATCACAAACAGGAGAGCGGTCAAGCCGCGGCCTTGTCGAAGACCAGTGCCAACGTTCAAGACTTTACGCCATTTACTCTGACGCAACACCTGCTGTCGGGATACAGAGATTGGATGGCCCGTAGCAGCTCGCCATGATTACAGACTATTGCATGAGACCCGGTAATAGGCTTTTCGTAGGTCAGCAAAACATGTACACAGGACGGGCGTACTCCCACGATTTCTCAACAATCTGGCGCAGGGCAAATATATGGTCAGAGATGTGATCGGACCGGAAGCAACAGTGATCTTCTTGTATCTTGGAGTCACTTACTCCGCGACACTTCCTTTCTAGCACCTTTGCGTAGACTTTGACTGGGAGGCTCAGTAACGTAATGCCCCTATAATTGGAGCTTTCCTTGTGGTTTCCCGTTTTAAATAGGGGTAAAATGACTCTCGTTCTCCAGTCCTCTGTTGCCATTCCCGTAGTCATCGCAGTTTGACAGAGACGTTAATCCAGCACATGCCTTGTTCTCCTAATGCCTTGAGCATTTCAGGGCGGATTTCATCAATTCCAGCAGCCTTTCCATTCTTCAAGCTTTTCACAGCTTGTGCAGTTTCATCTATAGAGATAGCAATATCCGTTCCCTGCTGCTCTACAGGCGAATCTTCCAGGGGTTGCGCGTGGTTAAGGAGTTCCTCAGAGTACTCCCTCCATCGCTGAAGAATGTCCTCATCCTCCATAAGAGGGTGTCCAGATCTGTCCTTCAAGACTCTGAGACTGCCCGTTTTTTCAACTCGGAGCCGGCAGATGGTCTGCCAGAATACTTTGTTTGCCGTGTTGAAATTCCACTCCAGCACCATACCGAACTTCTCCCAGGAATTAGTTTGGCTTTCGCCGCAACTTTGGCTGCCGTCTTGCGTGCTTGGACATATCGCACACGGCTGGAAGGCTCTTTGTTTCCTGACTATTTGTTAAATGGAGCCTTCTCTTTATCTGCCAGTTGTACCTCTC